CAAACATCCATGCATGCATGCATGCATGCATGCATGCATGCATGCATGCATGCATGCATGCATGCATGCATGCATGTACGTACGTATGTATGTATGTATGTATGGATGTATGTATGTATGTATGTATGGGATATGGCAGATATGCTTGTGATTCGCGGGGCATGGCTTGGCTGACGGACTTGGGAGTCTCTGGGGATCTGATGTCAGCGACCCAGGTGAAGAAGATCCGGCATACCGTTGAAGAGGCGCTTGCCAAGTTCGGCATCACCAAGATGAAGGCGTTCTCCGAGCCCTAGGTTTAGGGTTTCGGGTTTGGGCCCTAACCTCATGGATCCGTTTTGGTGGGGAGGTTTGTACAATGGGCTACCGTGAAGGTTTGTTGGACCCTAGCCATATCCTGCCTGCTCCCCGTAAACCCTGAACTCTGAACCCGAAACCCTTGACCCAAAACGTACATGCCCCTCGTCCGAAACGTTCCGAAACCCTCCGATTATGAAAGCCTCGAAGCCGGACCTAAGCATAGCAGCCTGTAAGCCCGAGCCCTAAATGCCAAAGGCTCTGAGCCATACAAGCCTTCACACCTCGAGCGATTTTCTGGGCTTTGCGGTGCTCCGAAGATGGGCTTCGTCAAGTTTGAGTCTATAGGTTGGTGTTATTATTTTTGTAACACATTTTGGGGTTTGGCATTCAGGGCCGTTCGGGGTTTAGAGTTGAGAGAAGATCACTGAACCTCAGCAAACACGTTTGGATTTTGGTGACTATCGTCCCTGATATCCGGCTTGCATGTGGTTCGTGTGGGGCGTAGGTGCTCACACCATCCTCACTCTTTGGGGAGGATGCTGTGGTCCGGAGAGTCTAGGGCCCTGGAAGGCTAAGCAGTTTATATACATGCTGGGGTTAGAGAGATGGAGGAAAGAGGTCGTTGTTCGGCTAAAATGTCGAGTTGAAAGTCGGATTCGCCAGGGCTCCTTCTTTGGCTGTTTACTGGCGCCTGCCTTTTATTGGGTAGTCTAATGGAAGTACTGTGTCGTTGAGCAAATTACGGCTACTATCTCTACAGGCGTTGCCCGGTAGTTTCTCCTGATAAACCTTCTTATAACCCTAAACCCTAAACCCTAAACCTCAAACGCTAAGCCCCCAAAGCCTCAGAGCCATTGAACATCCTGAAGCCCAGATCCCATACATCCACCCATCTAAACCCTATGAAGCCTAAATGCGGAAAGCCTCAGAGCATCGAAAACCTATCGAGCCCCAGCAGTAGCCCCTGGAGCAACCCTTGTAGTACCCTTGTCATACCTGAAACCCTAAACCCTAAACCCTTACAGCCCCAAACCCAAGAGTCCGTAGAAACTGCAACCGACTGCAGGCGTTGGACGCCGACTTCGACCCCGCACATCACGAGGCGATGTTCGCCATGGAGATGCCGGGCAAGGACTTTGTTCACTTGTGTTTCTGTTTGTTTTTGCAAAAGGTTGCTCTGAACATCTCTAAACCCTAAACCCTAAACTCTAAACCCTACACCCCAAACCCTGTTGGTCTTGAGGGTGCGTTCACTTTAGGATTTGAGCCGTGCATTTGGTTCTGCGGATCCAGGGTTTCTCGATCTGAACATCTCATATAGGAGCATAAATCCTTTGGGATTCCAGGTTATAAATTAGTAATGTAGTGGGCTTAATGATTAAAGTAGGGTTTTGGGGGCTCCTTATAAAAATTACAGCTATAATTAAAGTATAATATACCCCCAAACCCTATTCTATTTATAAAGGCCCCTATATTATACGATACCCCAAAGCCGATTCTCTGGTCAAGTCCGCTATAGCACACCTTGGGCCCTCAACGCACAAACTGCACCTCCCTAAACCCTAAACCCTAGGCCCTAAGCCCTGCAGGAGCCTAACAAGATTTTCCACGTCATGGAGTCCGGGACTGAGCTGCAGAGTTGTGGTTCATGCGTAGGGTGGAGGGATTTAGGGTTTAGGGTTTGGGGTCCAGGGAGTCTGGGGTTTAGGGTTTAGGGTTGAGGGCTTGAAAAGGGGTTTTAAAAGGCTTCAACGGCGGTTTAGACCTTCTTTGGATTTGTTTATAGGAGGCCTGGCGTTATGAGGACTTCGGGTTCTTCTTGTTGAGAGTCTTCAGGGTTTCGGCTTACGATATGGGGGTTTCCGACAGTAGGGGACCCTAATAGAGTACCCTGAATGATAGGATCCTTATATATAAGGACCCCAAAATAAGGTACCCCTCATGTAGGAAACTCCCATATAGGGTTCTTCAGGCTTACATTCCGGAGAGTTGAGGGATTCTTGATGAAACCTAAAGTCCCCCTTGGGTGCCGCCCATGACGCGCAAGAACCCGTTACGGTTTAGGGTTTAGGGACGAAGAACCCGGGGCAGAACCTCTGTTAGCCTGGTTTCTTCGGGATCCAAAGCAACAGGGTTCAGGGCTCGGTTTCAGGCTTCTCGGAGCACAAGAAGGTATGAATCCCTATAAAACCTGTACCAAAAAAGGCGGAGACATGTTGGTGGTGCAGATCCTAAACCCTAAACCCTAAACCCTAAAGCCCAGATCGGGCACCCTTTCCGACGCCCGACAGAAAGGCTGGAGGTCTTTCAGCCATCTTACAGTTCACTGGAAGCCAGTGCACAAATCCATTTGAGAATAAAGGTTCGGTGTAAACTCTAAACCCTGAACTCTAAACCCGAAGCCCTAAACCCTGAAGCCTAAACCGTAAACCCTAAACCCTCAACCCTAAACCCTAAACCCTAAACTCTCAACCCTAAACCCAAAACCCTAAACCCCAAAGACAGCCCAGCCAAGGCCGGGTTACATGATCCACGACCGCACGCTCCGGGCGGCCAAGGTCGGAGTGACGAAATGACGAGGCGGGCCGGGGCTCGGGGTTCAGGGTTCAGGGTTCAGGGTTCAGGGTTTAGGGTTTAGGGTTTAGGGTTTAGGCTTCAGGGTTCAGGGTTCAGGGTTTAGGGTTTAGGTTTATGGGTTTAGGGTTCAGGGTTTAGGGTTTAGGGTTTAGGGTTTGGGGCTTAGGGGTCTTGTTGGCCTAGGGTTTATGTAGGGTTTAGGGGTTTAAAGTTTTTTTTTTTCGCTTTTGGTTCTGCGGGGCCCAGTTTTCAATGATTTTTTGTGGGCTGTGCCGCTGTTGGGGTAGGACATTAGGGTTGCAACTTCGATCTGATGATTCAAGAGGTTTTCCAGCAAGGGTGTCATGTACCCATCTCTAAACCGTATTAGACTTCCAACCAGTGCATTGCACGCGCTCACGGAGGTTTTTAGTTTCATGGGGTCTGTAAGTTTTGCAGGAGGGTTCAACTCCAGTGTGGCCTTTTCAGCGACACATGAAAGGATCGCCCACGAATCTTGCGAACTTAGCGCCGCAACGCTGGATCTGCGATCACGCGCAGTTCTCGATCTGTTTCCCGGAAGGAGGGCAAGTGGGCGCGAATGCCAGAAAAGAAGGCGATCTCTGCGACAACCCACGAGCTTCTGTGGAGACTCCACCAAACCTTAAACCCTTAACCCTTAAACCCTAAACCCTAAGCCCTAAACCCTACACCCTAGAACCCTAAACCCCTAAGCCCCTGAACCCCCAAACCCCCAAACCCCTAAACCCTAAGCCCGGTAGGCTTTGGGGTTCAAGGTTTTGGGGTCTTGGCCTGGAGCTGAGTAGGAAGTTCTAAACCCTAAACCCTAAACCCTAAACCCTAAACCCTAAACCCTAAACCCTAAACCCTAAACCCTAAACCCAAGTACATGAGTGGTAGTACACGGCTTCAGACCACCGGGGCTTCCGAAGACGAGACCGGGTTTTAGGGGTTTCGGGGTTTCGGGGTTTCGGGGTTTCGGGGTTTCGGGGTTTAGGGTTTAAGGGTTTAGGGGTTTTAGGGGTTTAGGGGTTTTAGGGGTTTAGGAGTTCAGGGGTTTAGGGTTTAGGGGGTTCAGGAGTTTAGGGGTTTAGGGGTTTAGGGTTTAGTGGTTTTGGGGGTTTAGGGGTTCAGGGCTTTAGGGTTTCAGGGGTTCAGGAGTTTAGGGGTTTAGGGTTAAGGGGTTTAGTGGTTCTGGGGGTTTAGGGGTTCAGGGGTTAAGGGTTTCAGGGGTTCAGGAGTTTAAGGGTTTAGGGTTTAGGGTTTAGGGTTTTAGGGGTTTAGGGATTTAGGGGTTTAGGGGTTCAGGGGTTAAGGGTTTCAGGGGTTCAGGAGTTTGGGGGTTTAGGGTTAAGGGGCCGTTGAGGGGTTTAGGGTTTAGCGTTTAGGGCTTGAGGGTCTAAGGGTTTAGGGTTTTTAGGGTTTAGGGTTTAGGGGGTTGGGTTTACCTAAACACTAGACCCTAATATAGGGGTCTAAATTGTTACCAATACCTTTTTATGGGGCTCCTTTTTATAATTCTAGTACAATATACCCCAAAGCCCTATTCTAGTTACTAGGCCCCTCTATGCCACCCCACATCGTCATAGTTTGCAGCCTCCGAAGTTTCGGTACTCTGCCGCCGCACTTCCCGAGCCCCCAAATCCAAAGCGCTAAACCCAAACTACTTCCTAAACCCTCACCCCCCAACCCCCTAAACCCTAAACCCTAGATCCTAAACCCAAAAGGCCCTAAACCCAACAAACCCAAAGCCTTCAACACTGAACCCCATGACTTCTCCAGGGCCTAGCAGCAGCCTGAGCCTTGACAGGAGAGCCGTTACCTCCTCAAGGGTGAGCAGTTGCATTGTAGCACCCGGCTTCTTGAGGAGAGTTGCAGAGGGAAGCCTCGAAAATTGCGGTTCGCTGCCTGGTTGGAAGGTTTTGGGGTTCAACTGCTAGTTCTTATATCATTCTTTAAATCCTAACCCTAAACCGCTCTTCATTCTTAGCACCCTGACATCACGGCTTCGGGTTCCAAGGTGAGAGCTTTCAGGATTCGTTCCTAGGGTTTGGGGTTCTGTGCTCGGGGATGAGGCACGGCTAAGGGTTTAGGATTAGGGTTGAGGGTTTTGGGGTTGAGGGTTTTGGGAACCCTAAACCTTAGACCCTAAACCCTAAACCGAGGAGGGCATAGGAGGCTAGGGCCATGAGCGTGAGAACAAGACTATGGTTCTAGGGGGTCTAGGGTTTAGGGGTTTAGGGTTTAGGGTTTGGGGGTTTAGGGTTCAGGGGTTCAGGGGTTTAGGGTTTAGTGTTTGGGGGTTTAGCGCCGTTTAGGGTTTAGTGTTTGGGGATTTAGGGTTTAGGCGGTTTACGGATGCTAGGGCTTCGCGGTAAGCAGCCTGTTCAGTGAGGGGTGTTGGAGTTCCCTGCAGGTTCAGGGCTGTCGAGTTTTGGTGTTTTAGGAGGGTTGAGGGCGCATGGCAAGTAGCCCAGAGGCTCCATACATACTACCATTTTGGAACCCGCAGTAGGGATGCTCTTTCGGGACCTTAGTCCATGATGGTAGTAGATATGACGTCCTCTGTGTAGGGCGTCTTACTAAACATTATGTCCGAGACGCCAAGCTGTCAAACGTACCCTAAACCCTAAACCAAGCCCTAAACTTTTGAACCCGAAAATGGGGCCCCTGTTTAGGTTACCAAAATAGTACGGCACTCTTGTGAAAAGGACCCTAAAAATAACCCTAATTTAGAGAACCGCCCATTTTGAGGTGTGAAAAATTAGCTATGGCATCGGCTCTCCACAGTCGGTCACTTGATTATTTTTTGCGGAGAACCGATCGTCGGAGAGGTGAGAAGTCTATGTTGCATTAGTGTCGCTGCTGCATCGCAGCAACCTACGGCCTAAACTCAAGACCCTAAACCCTACACCCTAAACCCTAAAAAAACCTCCTTAACCCTGAACTCGAAGCTCTAGACTCTAGACCTTGAGCCCTAAACTCCCAAACCTAAGCTCCAGACCCTAAGCCCAAAACGCCGAAACCCTAGACTCGAGACCCGAAATTCTGAGAGCCCTAAACCCTAAACCCTAAAAACCCTAAAAACCCTAAAAACCCTAAACCCTAAACCCTAAACCCTAAACCCCAAAAACCCTAAAAACCCTAAAAACCCTAAAAACCCTAAACCTTAAAAGCCCTAAACCCCAAACTCTGGACCCGATATTCTGTGAGCTCAGGTTTCGGTTTCACTTTAGGCTTTTTCGAGCGGCTTCTGGGTTTTCGGTTTAGGGGTTTAGGGTTTAGGGTTTAGGGTTTAGGGTTTAGGGTTTAGGGTTTAGGGTTTAGGGGTTTAGGGGTTTCGGGTTTAGGGTTTAGGGTTTAGTACCTTATCATGTGGTACGCACCTCGTAGAAGGACCGCTTAATACAGGACTGCCTCGTGCAAAGAACGCGCCATGTGGCCGGTTGGAGCTACTTTGCAAACGGCTGTTCTCGACGCCCTAAACCCTAAACTCTTTAGGTTTTAAGAAAGGGTTTAAGGGTTTAGGGTTTAGGTTTTTAGGGTTTAGGGTTTTAGAGTTCAGGGTTTAGGGATTCAGGATTTAGAGTTTAGGGTTTAGGTCTTTAGGGTTTAGGGATTAGGTTTAAAGAACGGGTCCCTTGTCTTCTCAAACTCCGACCTACATGTCAGGGGTCCGGTTTCGGGCCATCCTAAACCCGAAAGCTCAAAACCCTAAAGCCAAACACCTTGAAGCGCCCTATGCCCAAAACCTTGGATCTAAACACCCGAATCCTAACCCACACCCTACGACCTAAACCCCAGCCCTAAGCCCTAAAACTTTGAACCATAAGATTGAAAGCCCTATCCGCGTGGCTCAAGCACGTGCCTAGTAGTTACAAGCTCTTTGCGGATCGGCCTGGACGACGACCATGGTCGGGCACTGAGGTCCTCTAAAAGGTTTTTAGGGTTTAGGGTTTAGGGGTTCAGGGTTCAGGGTTTAGGGTGTGGGTTTAGGGTTACAGGGTTTAGAGTTCCTTTCAGCATTACTGAAGGCGTTGTATGTCAGATTTTGATGGGTTTGGGGGTCTTCCTTGTGACTTCTGTTTATCATTCTGGGTAAAACTCCTAGACCGCAAGCCCTAAACCCTAAACCCTGAACCCCAAACCCTAAACCCTAAACCCTAAACCCTAAATCCTAAACCCTAAACCCTAAACCCTAAATTTAATGTCGGTCGCCTGGGCTTGCAGAGGGGTCAGAGGTTTATGGGCCAGGTCTTCGGAGCTTTGGGCTTTACGTTTCCTAAACTTTGGGCTTTACGTTTCGGGTTTAGGGTTTAGGGTTTAGGGTTTAAAGTCCCTAAATCCCTAAACCTTAAACCCTAAATCCCTAATCCCTAAACCCAAAAGCCCTAAACCCTAAACTCCAAATCCTAAATCCCTCAGACCTTGACTCTAAATCCTACACGCTGGACAGCAGCTCCGGATGGCTGGGCTATGACGTCTCAAGAAAGTTACCCACCCGCCCAAAGAATCCCCCAACATCAGAAATTAAAGGGTTTAGGGTTTAGGGTTTAGGAACTTTTTTTAGAGTTCGCGTTGTGTGTTCTACATATTGCCATCAGCATTCTTCAATTCGGGCTCGACTCACGATGTTTCTGATTATTCTGCTCAGCTTTGGTGGTTAGACCCTGAAGTCTGTCGATGCTGCTGTAAACTCTTGCTGTGCTCACAACCGCTTTTTACTTATCTTTTGAAAGGCCAGCCCAGAACCCCAAACCGTAAACCGGAAAGCCAGCCCAGAGCCCTAAACCCTAAACCGTAAATCCTAGGGCCCAACCCTCAGCCCGAAACCGCAAACTCTAGGGCCAGTGCCCTAATTCGTAAGCCCTAAGGCCAGCCCAAGGCACAAAACCCTAAAGGCCAGCCCAGAACCCGAAACTGTAAACCCTAAACCCTAAACCCTAAACCCTGAGCCCTAAACCCTAAAGAGCCAGCCCAGAGCTTTGAACTCTAAGCCGTAAACACTGAAACCGAGTCCAGAGCCTTAAACCGAAAATAACCCAGAGCCCTAAACCGCAGACCCTAGAGCCAGCACTACACAGGCCATTCTCAAGCTTTGACCTGTCAAAGTTTGATTTCTCTCAAAATTTGAGCACAGAAATTTTCATGCTTATACTCAAACTGTTCAATCTCTTTGAGGTTTTTCAATAATTGAAAGTTTTCAAAAGTTGATCAAATTTTGATGCAGCCATTTTCATCTTTTGTGCCGCTGTCCGCTGCTTTCTTCTTCATCATGGCCTCCGCCCAGGCCAGACGAAAGTCTTCTTACACGTCCAACTCCAAATTGACTTCTTCACCCGGGTCATAAGTCGATATGGCTGTACTTACCTTGTTTAAAACCTGTAAATGCTATATCCTAAACCCTAAGCCCTCAAACTTAAACACTCAACCCTAAACCCTAAACCCTACACCTTGCTTCGCTAAGTCCCATGACCCTTGGTGTACACGATGGAGCTCGAGTATGAAATGGCTCCACCCTTTCCGGACGCGGACAGGCTCAAGGCAGAAGGCTTCGAGCTGTATTTACCTCGCACGGAGTCTGTCCGCATGGCCTTCAAGATTTCCGAAGACGACTTCGGCCCCGAGCAATTATTCATTCTTTGCACCCTGGGGGCCAGAGTTGCTCAGGGCAGCGCCCGGCGACTACGTCGTCGCAATCTTGGACCAGCTTGGCACCACGCTTCCATTTATGCACAAAGACATCTTCCATGACCATGTCGGTGCTGCAGGGGGCGAGATCCGCGAGGTGTACACTATTGGAAGCGAGGAGTTTGAGCAGTCATACTACAAACTCGAGGAACCGCAGTGCCTACATTGCATGCCAAGAGTATGATAAGCTTGAAACAAGTTGACGTCCGTGGGCGAAACCGGCTAAGCCCATACGCCTCGACATGTGCAGGTGTTCGTGTTCGACATCCTTCCGGGTATCGACTTGGAGGCATGGCCCAACCACACTCAGGTCACCGACAGAATAAGCCTCTACATCATCCGGTCCCCCTCATTATGGATAGCCACCACCCCAACAATCAATATTGCGGTTGACGACCCCGAGTCTGCGAGAGAGAGAGAGAGAGGGAAGAGGGGGCATGCTGCTGAGGAGGCACACTCCATTATCCGGCAGTCGTTCACCGAGCTTGGTGCTAGCCTTTTCAGCTTCGCAGGCATTTCAAAGCGTAGCGGAGTAACGGAATAGATGTCCAAGAGCGTGTACGCAGGCAGTGCCGCAGGCATGCATGTATACTCGCACGTATGTATGTCTGTGCGTATATGCGTACGGCATATCTCTCTCTCTCTCTACATATATATATATATGTATGTATGTTTTCGTATGTTTATAGATACATATACATACATATATATATATATATATGCTAACCCCCCCCAGGACCAACCTCGACACTTGCTACACAGAATTCTTCCCTCTATTTACTTGGGTGAATGTGTCAAAACATTGTAATTTGAGCTTTCTCTTTAATATTATTATGTTATGCTTCTTTTAGAAGGCCCGAAAAACGGAGACCCAAAAATGGACCTTTTTCGAAATTCATTCTGTGCAATACTCCGGCTGAATATTTTGTGTTTCTATTTGCTCGTCCCTTTCAGACAAACTAACCCTGGTGGCGCCAGTACTTCAGCAATCACCGCCATTTCATGAATGCTTGGAGCGCGGATTTTGTTGCAGGAAACTGCCTTCGCTTGGTCCCTCACTCCAGGGGCAGCCACCTTTGGCGTTAGCCTCGGTGGTGAAGGTGCAGGCAGGATACTTTTTGATACCCATCGAAGTCGAACCAGCAGAAGCCCTTTTTTTGGTTCATGTCCGCTCTGGAAAGGGGCTGCTGTGGTTGTGCCACAGCAGGGCGAGATACTCTACCTTGGTGTTGGCCCTGCGTTTCAATGACTGAGATAATTTGAACTTGGATCCGCTAGAGTTCGGTCCAGAATGTTCAATTCAATAACAGGGGGATTGCCGTAACAGAAACTGGTTGTCCGTAACAGGACTTTGCAACGAGAACCGGGGCCCAAGCAGTAACCGGAACTGGCTGGTTCCCGTAGCGCAGTGGGCACCGGCCCTGTAACAGGAACCAGGCCCTTCGAGGCCAGCCTTTTGCGTGCAAGTGGGGGACCTGTTTTCGGTCCTCGATTCTGCCACCGCAACAGGGTTGAGGGTTCACACTGCTTCTAATCCAGCCGCTGCGCTGGTGGCGTGGTCGCAAGGGAACCCTGATGCGGCAGATGCTGACATCTCAACGCGCTGCCAGGTCAGCCGACGGAAATCCTTGCAGCACGTTCGCCACCACGAGAACAGCATTGAGGAGGTCAAGGCTCTGGTGGCTCAATTGCAGGAGCGGGAGGTCACGAAAGATTGGGAATTTGAGATCCTGGCAGAGGACATGGCCCAAGGCATTATGTGCTTTTCTTCGGGCTCTTATATGAATGTTTTCCAGGAGCACAAGGAGGCCATTATGCAGCACGGCCTTCGGTTGGCGTGCGATGCCACGCGCGATATGTCCAATTCCAAAGTGAAGCTTTTTGCATTGGGTTGGGGTTTAGGGTTTAGGGTGCAAAGTTCATCGATGCCTTTATCCATGTCTTATGTGCAAGTGGGGGACCGGTTTTCGGTCTTCGATTTTGCCACCACAACAGCCTGCTGGTTTCCCGGAGAAGGTAGGGCTTAGGCTTTAGGGTTTAGGGTTGAGGGTGTAGGATTTAGGGTGCCAAGTTCATCGATAATTTTATCCATTTCTTATGTATCAACCCTTAGACCCTAAACTGTTCAGGGTTCAGGGTTAGGGACTCGTAAGCCGTCAGCCCCTAAGCCGTAAGCCCAAAATCTCTAGAACCCGAAACCCCAGCGCAGGACGCTGTAGCATTGTTTGCTTTTTGTGAGGAAGCAATACCAAGTCCCAACAGCGACACCCCTCCTGATCTGTCCTCTTGTTTTTGCATTTCGCTCTGACATGAAAGATACCGTGTTTCCTTGCTATGGCAACTTAAACTTAGGACGTCGTGCCTTCACCAAGGCCAAAAGCCTAAACCTTGAACCCTTAAACCCAGGGTTTAGGGTGTAGGGGTTAGGTTTTAGGGTTTAGGGAATATTCCAAGGTGAAGAGCACGTCCTTGACGAAGCAGGAGCTCGCCGACGTTCTTGGCAGTGCGAAAACGAGCAAGGAGAGGGCTTCGGGTGCAGAAGAATTTCCAGGGCTTGGGGCCCCTGGGGTTTAGGGTCATTGGGTTTAGGGTTTAGGGTTTGGGCTTAATGGGTTTTGGGTTTAGGTTTTAGGGGATTCTGCGTGATTCTCAGTTTCATGTCTTACGGTTGGGGTTGCGAAAGTTTCGCATATAGGCGTGTAGAAAGAAGCACGGCGTCCGCATACCAATCGGGCCTAAAACTGTTGCGGCTCTGGGAAGACAACTTTGCCCGTTTCCTTGCAAGCCTGCAACGGATTCTGCACCCAAATCCCTGAGCTTTGTGGTCCGAGGAGCGCAACCGCGCCGTGAAGCTTTTGAAGCAGTTCGATCCGATTCCGCGTTACGAGTTCGACGATGAAGGCTACAAGTCGAAGATGAGGTGGGGCCTGAGAAGGGGTTTTGGCTTGTTGGGCTTAGGGTTTAGGGTTTGGGGTTCTGGTTTTTTGGGGCTTGGGGCCTGGGACAAGGTCTTCCGAAGCAGGTTCTTGATGAAGCGAATATTTGTGCCTTTGTGTAGGAACCGCACCCTCTCACTTGCAAGCTGGAAAGTCTCCAAGCACCAAGCAACGGATCCTGACAGGGGCGTGTGTGCTTGTGTGTGTGTATATATATATATATATGTGTGTGTGTGTGTGTGTGTGGTGTGGTGTGTGTTTGTGTGTACGCGTGTGTCTGGCTGTGCGTGTTTGTGCAAGCACATCTGCCTGTGTGTGTAACTTGTCTGGGTGCTTTCTGTGCCCTGTCGTCGGCCGTGGTTTGCATGTTGCGGCACAACGCTTAGAATAGGAGCCTTAATCTGCATTGGCATTGTTCATCGATAATTTGTCCTTTCGCAATCGTGCTGATGGTTGAAAGATTTTTTAAGGTGTCGACCTGGTGTAAATACAGCATGATGCCGCCGAAAACTGTTGTTAAACCATGGTCTCATGAACCCCAAACCCTAAACCCTAGTCCCTAAACCCTCTGTTGTATTTGTAAACCTGTTAGCAGTTTATGGAATAGTGTCACCGAAACTTTTTCTGAGATCAAGCCCCACATGGGCGTATGTCAGAAAGTTCAAAACCTAACGAGAATGCAGGGTGCTCTACTTCGATGCTAAGCCCCAAATTCTCAAACCGGAAAAATCTTGCAAGATGCAACTTTTGTCAATTTGCACCTCGAAACAGGAAGGTTCGGTGGAAACGGAGAGCATAAACAGCAAGAGGGGTGTGAGTGCATCAGTAGTACTGTATGGAAGCAACAGTACAGTAGCAGGTTGCTGTAGTAGTTGTTTCAATAAGTGTCGGGCCAGCAGCACTAGAAGCAAATACTCTAGGGGCCTTACTAATTCGAATGGGGTTT